TGTGTGTGTCCGTTCTCCGCCCAGCCCCTCGCGGCTCCTGCGGGGCCAAATCAGAGAGAAAGGGCCGCCGCTGCCCACACTCACGTCGTTGAAGTGCTTCGTGGTTTTCATGATGTAGGGCGTCCTCTCGTTCTTCTCCAGCTTCATCCAGCCTTGTCCGAAGAACTCCCTGCAGGAGACGGGGGGGCCCCCAGGCGGAGGCGTCAGGCGGCCCTCGGGGTCCCTTTGCTTTTGAGGCTGTCATGGGGGGGGAAGGGGGGGAGGCCGGCACCGCCCCATGCACTCACTCGTAAGGGATCTTCTTGAAGACCAGGTGGTCCAGCAGGGTCAGCTGCTCCGCGATCTCCAGGGCCGAGTGGTTCTCAAAGGGCTCGGCCTTCACGCCCGCGGCCTGAGGGGGGCCAGGTCCGTGTTAGCACCACTGAGCCCCATGAGGCTACCTCCTGGCTTCCCCACACTTCCCCAGGGGATCGCCACTGATGGGGGGGCAAGTGGATGGAGGGGTGTGACTGGGGAGGCACCTCCTGGCAGACCAGATGGGAGAGGAGGTCTGACTGGGAGATGGTGTGCTGGGCAGGAGGCGCAGGCTGCCCCCTCGGCTCCCCCCGTGTTTTATAACCTATATTCTTTTAATAGTTATTCTTTTTAAAAAATATATTTTATTGATTTTTTACAGAGAGGAAGGGAGAGGGACAGAGAGTCAGAAACATCGATGAGAGAGAAACATCGATCTGCTGCCTCCTGCACTCCCCCTACTGGGGATGTGCCCACAACCAAGGCCGTGCCCTTGACTGGGATTGAACCCAGGACCCTTCAGTCTGTGGGCCGGCGCTCTATCCAGAGCCAAACCGGGTAGAGCTAAACATATATTTTTTTAATGCTAAGCGATTTGGCCCAAAGTAAAATATTTAACAAATAATGACTACTGCTAAGAGTTCACCCTACTGAATTAAATCAGGTCTTAATTTTAAATTAGGGAATGACACAGAAGTAAGAACCAGTAGAGAGGAATTCATTTTCTAGGATTTATCATTATCAGCTTCATCAATACATACATTAAATATGGGTAAACATTTAACCCATGTAACC